ATACAGCATCCAGGAAGCTGGGCTTTATAAAGAAGAATATGGCACAGGATTGGAGGAAGACTCTTCAGCAACCTGCTTTATGCAAATGACACAACTATACTCACTGAAACTGAGGGCTTGAAGCATTTGCTGAAGAAGATCAGACTGCAGCCTTCAGTATGGATTGTGTGTCAACATCAAGAAAGCAAAAACTCTCACCATCAGGCCAGTAGGCAGTATCATTAAAGACGGATAAAAGATTGAGGTTGCTAATGATTTTGTCTTGCTTGACTCTACAATCAACACTCTTGGGACCAGCAGTAATCAAAAGACGAGTTACATGGGGAAAATCTACTGTCAAGTGTATTTCCAGAGTGCAAAAGAGCAACAGTGTCAGCCTAGATATTAAGGTGTGCATAAATCCAGGCCATGGTCTTCTCAATTGCTTGCTATGCATCTGAGAGCTGGATAGTGAATAAAGATGACAAAAGAAGTATCAATGTAGTGCTGTTGTTGTGTGTCATCAAGTCACCTGCTCCTCATATGCACAACAGCTCTGAAGCCTGTCCTGTCCTGAGCCAGTCTCACTGACTCTGATACACCTACTCTCATTGCCCTAGTTACTGTATCAATCCATCTCATCTGGGGTCTTTCTCTCCTGTACTGTCCCTCCATCCTTCCAAACATGATGTACTTCTACAAGGATCTGTTCTTCCTGGCCACATGCCCAAAATATTTGAGATGGAGCTTCAAAATCCTAGAAGAAACTTGGTTGCAGCCTCTCCAAGACAGACCTGTTTGTTTTCTTGGTGGTCCATGGTATATTCAATACCAGCACCACAGCTCAAAGGCATCGATTCTTCTTCTGTAATCCTTAGTCATTGTACAGCTCTCTGATGCATTGCAAGTAATTGCAAAGACCATGGACTGTATCAAGCACACCTTAGTTTCTACACTGACATCATTGCTTCTCAGTACTCTGAAGAGGTCCTGACAGCAGACTTACCTAATGTAATTCACCTTCTGATTCCTGACTGTTGGTTCCAAAAGTGTTGATTGTGGAGCCAAAAAAACTAATTGTTAACAACCTCAATCTCTTCTCCATCCATCATTGTGCTGCCAATTGGCCCAGTGGTGAAAATCTTTGTGTTCTTGATGTTGAACTTCAGTTCATATTGAAGACCATATTCCTTGACTTTCTGTAGCAAGTGCTTTGGGTCCTTCTCATTTTCAGCAAGCATGGTTGTATCATCAGCATAATATAGGATATTGATGAATCTTCCTCCAAACTTGATGGCACATTCCTCCTCATAAAGCCCAGCCAACTGAATGGTCTGTTCTGCATATAGATTGAAAAGGTATGGAGACAGAACACATCCCTAATGCACTCCCTTGCTGATTTTGAACCATGCAGTGTTTCCCTGCTCTTTTCTGAGGACTGCTTCCTGGTACAAGTATAGATTTGGCATAAGCACAATCAAATGTTCTGGAATTTCCATTCTTCCCAAATTAACCACAATTTATTGTGACCTACACAGTCAAACGTCTTTCCATAGTCAATAAAACACAGGTGGATATCCCTCTGGTACTCTTATGCTTTCTTCCAAGATCCATTTGACATTGACAATGATGTCTCTAGTGCCATGGCCTCTTCTAAACCCAGAGTATTGAACATACCTTGGACTGTCAAGAGAACAAATGAGTATGTCCTTAGAGGGCGAAACCAAATTGTTCCTTGGAGGCAAGAATTTTGAAGCTTTGTCTCATTTACTTGGGGTATGTGACCAGTAAGGAGCAGTCCTTGAAGAAAGCATACTTGGAAGGGTAGCAAGTCAGCATACAAAAGGAAGATCCAGGATGAGACGGATTGATAGAGTGACTGTGCAATAGAATTATATGTGTCAGAGACAGTGAGTTATCCCATGGTACAGAACCAAGATTTGACCTTAAGTCTGTTCCACTCGAATTTCAAAACCATCTCAGGAACAGGTTTGAGG